ACACAATGTCCTGTAACATCTTGCATGCGTTTATCTCAAAATGATCTGATAGTAAAGCAGTGCTGCTTTAAAAAAGCATCAGTTGTGATCAGTTGACAATCTGCTTTGATAAAATGCTGCAGTATGACTGTTTGGAAGCTGTGACATCTTCTGCATCTCTGTGACATAAGCATTGCTTGTGTCCGTCCTGCGGCTCCTCTGTGATGGTTATGAACGATAGTTACAGTCCAAAAATGGACAATTCTTTGCTTTCTGATGGGTTGTGTGAAATTTGGAATCTGGCAGTCAAGAAGCACCTCTGAGTCCCCAGATACCTATCAACAAGCTGCAAGGTCTGCAGGGTGGCTGTGGAAAACCGTGGTGACAGCTGTTCAGCATGAGATACTTCTCTTTGCGTTGCTGGGGTTCTTTTCTTGGCTTCGTGTGGTCAGGAACAGCTCGATGCCAGGTAGGATGGTCCCACATATCTGAATGTTTTTACAGACATGGTTAATGGCTGTAGTGGTGGTGGATTGTTGGTTGGACTAGATGACCTTGGGGGTCTTTTCCAACCTTAATAATTCTGTGATTCTGCTATTCTATAATCGTTGTTCAGCATAGGCTGGGGCCGCTCGTTGGGAAGTGCTGGGCTCTGAAGGCATTGGTATTTGGTTCCTGAACACACTTTTCTGCAGGTCTATAGTGCTAGAGAAATTCTTTTATGGAGAATTAAGCAAAGAAAGTGGAAGTATTAACTTCTGCAGCCCCTTGCTCTCGTTTTCTCTGTCGTAAGTTAGGACTCAGTCCTTCAGTGGCAGTTTACACACCAGTATAACTGAGATCAGTATTTGGCACTCTGTGTCTCTTTCATCATCTGCAAACTGGAGATAATAGTGTTTGGTAGGTTTGGGTGAATAATTCATGGCAGGTCTTTATTAGCGGGTGTTGCTTGTCTGTGCTTGCAGAGAGTCTGCACATCAACTGCATTTTTTTCAAATGTATTTGTTATTCCAAATTATTCACCAAACACTTTTTAATATTTTATTAATATATTAATGTAATTAATATATTCTATTAACTATTAATATAATTTTATGGGCCTATAGTGTGTTTAGAACATTAATTTGAAGCTTGCCTTGTTTGAGTATTTGTCATTGTTGGTTAAAATTTGTTATTTCAGCAACTGTGCCTCCTGTACAAACTTGTCTGACTGACAGGAAATACAAAGAAGGCATGAATATGTTGGAGTTATGGGGTTGTTGTTGTTTCCCTTTATTATTGTTTCAGCTCTAACATCAATCTACCTCAGAGAGTATAGTGAAGAATCAAGAGATAATTCTTAATGTGCAGTGCTGCCTTACAGTGCTATTGTTTCTAAGACAGAGGCTCTTGTCTTTTATAAGTGCCTCTGAGGGCAGGAGGTAAGCAAAAAGAGGTGGCAGACACTGATGTGTTCAGAGCTACCAAGAAAGGTAGAGATGTACGAGACTGAGTCTAGGCTAATAAAGTAGATGAGGGCTCAGAGAGCAAGTAGCATACCAAGACTTGACTGATGTATATGGCTGAACTTCTTTCCTTCCCAGAATATGTACACGCTGGCTTATGAAAATGGTCTGTGATTTGTGCTGTTCTCCAAACCATCTCACGCTTTTCCCTAGGAGCCTGGACTTGTGCCAGACACTGTACAGGCCATTAAAACATATGAATGTATCACAGAATCACAGAATCACCTCTAAGATCATCTGTCCAGGCCATCAACACTGTGCTCAATAACTTTGTCCCTCTGTGCCACATCTACAGATTTCTTGGACACCTACAAGGATGGTGACTCCACCAGTTTCCCTGGGCAGCCTGTCCAATCTATTGTTAGTGTCCTGGGTAGTTCTTAGCATCTCAGGAGCAAGCTTAAAAGCCTGTGGGTTGCTTGGCTCCACTGCCCAAAGTGCTGACTGTGTTTGTTTGTTCAGGACGTGCTCTGTTCCACATCCATTCCCTGTAAGCTGGGGAAGGAAGACATTGGCCATGTCCCTGGAGAGTTACTGAGGGAGGCTGCAGCTCTGAGTTTTGCTGCTTGGGAAATGGGAAGTGCTGGGACAGAGATCAGAGTTCTGACTGGAGGCTTGGATCTGTGGAGTAAGATCCTGCTAGTGTGGACTGCAGCTGTTTTGAATGATTCCACTAGTTCTGCTTAGATCATCACAGTGAAAAAGGACAATTAGTGTAGGCAGAGTGCTAAGAATGTTTCCCCACTTTATCGTACAAGTGGAACACTGCTCTAATACATCCACAAGAACTTCTCCATGATGGTGTTCAAGGCCAGGTTGGATGGGATCCTGGGTAGAGTGATCTAGTGGCTGGTGGTTCTGCCCACAGCAGAGGTTTGGAACTAGATGGCCTTTAATGTTCCTTCCAACTTAAATCATTCTTGTAGATGCTAAAGAGCATTTTCGTTTTCAGGATTTATTGAGAAGCAAGATCCTTAGGTGCGTAGGAGATGTAAGCCAGTAACATACAACTGGCTTGTGCCTTTTCCTGAAGCTGTATGTTTGTTCATTTGTTTGGTTGGTATTTCTTTTCCTGTATAGCTTCAATAGTAAAAGAAAATTTCTTGGTGTGGTCCCAGTGTAGAAGTTCTTGTGCAGTTTTGCCCAGGACATAACCACCGGGAGTCCTTGGGATTTATTTTCCACTAAGAATACCTAAAGCTTCGGGTGTGAGGAATGAACAGAGAAAGAAGGATGGCTCTCTTAAGCTTCATTTATAGTTATCCTTTCATGATTGTACCAACACTGTCTTGGATTTTTTTGCTGGAGAAAAGTAACTTGGTAACTTGAAAGTTATGGGTAACTTGAAAGTAATGGGGAACTTGAAAACAATGAGCTTTTGATGTTAACCAAATATTAACCTGGTCGTACTTGTTCATTCAGGCTAGAACTGTAAAACAGCTTTTCATATCAAGGGAAAATAGTGAGTCAGCATGAAAAGGGCAAGACTATCAGGTCTACTTTTGGTTTAACTTCTCAGGTACTGATGTTGATTGATACTCTGCAGAGATTGTAAGCTGCTATGTTTTGTATTCTAGTTCAAATCAAATATGTTGGTGGGAATGACAAATCAGTTGTAGGCTTGCTTCCCATCTAAAAATTGCCTTTACAATAGCTTGATTGTTCTTGATTTTTTATCAGAATTAGTGGGGAAAAAAAGATCCCCTTTAATTACAGTTTGTTTAAGTAAGGGCATACAAAAACATAGGTAAAGTAAAAACCATTGCCTATGAAAACATGGAGCTGCCATTAAAACATCTAAAACATTAAAATTTAAATCAATTCTCTGTTGCAGCTGTTTGTTTCATGAGTTTGGTTTCAAGCCCACGAATGATAGCAGTTGGGACAGTTTGTGTTAAAATCCTTGATCCTGGTAACACATTGCATGCACTGTACAATTCTCATTGTCAACAAGCTCTGGCTGGGAGGTTGCTGCCTTAGATCACAAGATGAGTGTTATGGCGGCTTCCAAACAAATGTCTGTATCTCATCAGCCAGGAAAGGTATCCTGCTGCTGCTGCTTTCTCTGGGACATTTTAGGATTTTTTGTTTTTTGGTGTGCCCTGCTCCATGTTTGCAGCACCCTCATAATTTGCTCTGTCCACACTGAACTGAGATGTCCCCGGCCTGATGAGAAATAGGAGAGTTTCTCCTCAAAGCTGCTCTTAGTGATCGTGTGCTTTTATTTATTTTTCTTTAAAGCTAATTATCTTCAGTTAATTGATAAGAGTTTTTGACAGTTCCACCAAAGAAACTGTATGTATTTGAAAACTGGGAACTTCTAGTTCTAGCCTTGGTCCCCTGTGTAGCAGGGTGAGGTTTGTGTTGCGCCACATATGCTCTGGCTGCAGAGCAGACAGCCATCTCTGCCTGTCCCTTTCTCAGGCAGCAAATGCAGGCATTTATGTGTTACTAGAGAAATGTATCTCAGGGTTTTCTGATCTTCCAGTGTTTTCTTTAAAGCAGCCGAATTTGCCAGTGTACTGAAAGGCCAAAGCGTGCAAAGGAAAGAGAAGGATATGGAGAGGTCCTGTGAAGATCAGGATAGCCATATGACAATATTGAGAGGTTCAAGAGGAGCAAACCAACCACTATAGCTTAGGGACTGGGAGGAACTGAGGGCATATTTGTGCTTTTCTTATAAACTTAGCTTCTTGCTTAAGCAATTGGCTTTCCCATCTGTAGCTGATGACTGAGGGACTGAGGCATCAGAGGTTGGTAGTCATCAGGAGATTTCTTGATGGCCCATAAGGAAGGTTTCTCAGCCTGTGCTAAAACAGCAAAGGGCTGAGGATGGGGCATGGTTTGGTCTTGGTTCAGTTTTCCCCGTACTAGAACATGTGGGAATATGAGGCCTGGTGGATGAGGTGTCCACAAGATGTTCTGAGGTGAGAAAAGATGCTTAGTACAAACAGGGGATGTCCTCCCCCCTCCTCAATCCTCTCATTCCTTGCTGCCTTGGGGCAATGGAAAGGGTGCACCCTGTCAGAAGGCCTTCTAGTACTTAAGGGGAGCTTATAAACAGGAGGGAGACTGACTTTTTATACAGACACATAGTGACATGACAAGGGGCAATGTTTTTAAACTAAAAGAAGGGATATCAATGTTGGATGTTACAAGGAGCTTCTTTACTCAGAGGGCGGTGAGGCGCTGGCACTGCTGCCCAGAGAGCTGAAGTGCCCAACGCCTGGAAGTGCTCAAGGGCGGGTTGGATGGGGCCATGGGCAGCCTGAGCTGGTGGGGGCAGCCAGCACACAGCAAGGGGATGGAACTGGGTGGACTCTACTATCCTTTCCAACCCAAACCATTCTGAGATTCTGTGACTCCATGATTATGTGATTCTGTGACACACAAAGAGCAGTTCATGTCTAGCAGTTTTTAAAGAAGGCAGCACATGACTCTTTATGAATAGTTGATGCCAGGTGATCGTTTTTCTGCCTTATGGATTCTTACATAATGTCTTTTCGTTTTCAGCAGATAGACTGGGACCTCCTCTAGACATACTGCTGGATTCGCTGAACTGCACAGCTTTCAGTGTGCAATGGAGGATGCCAAAGCAGCACGCAAGCACCATCACAGGATATACAGTAAGTGATCCCTTATGCTGTTAGCAGAGAGCAGCCTCAAAACTGCACATGCACAGCAGAGCAAAGCATGACAGCCTGCTCTCCAAAAATAATGCTATTGCCAGGAAGGTGTTCAGGGAACGGGTGACTGATGGAACTGTAACTTTAAGAAACAGGCAGTTTGCATGTTCAAAGGGAGCTATGATGGGAATTTGGGTTGGCTGCCAGCGGATTATACTGGGTATAGATTGCTTTCCTTTAGTGGCTTCCATGAAAGCATCTCGATGCTCTCTGCAGCTGATAAAGCAATGAAGTACAGCAGAGCAGGTCGATACTACGCTGTGCAAATGAAAGGAGGTCTGTGGTGATTTTAGGACTGCTTGGATCCATAGGTTTGTACCTCCAGCCTGAGCAGTACTTTAGCAGCACTCACTATTCCAGAATCTGTCTCTTTGCCTCTTTACCTCTTTACCCTTCTCTCTCAGAGAAGCTGTTGGTTTTCCTGTTTCAGCCAGCAGTTCTGGAGCTTTCAGACCCTTTCCCAGTTCCCCTCTGCACACTGAGCAGTAACAGAGTGGCTAGCCTAAACTGGGCACTATTTGAAAGTGCAAACAGAAAACAATGGGCACAAATTGCCATTCGTTTTCTCAACAAAAAAGAGGTTCATTGGATTTTCCTTCAATTGCTATTCCAGGGCAATGAAACTCAGTAGCCAAACAGATGTTAATCAGAGAGGAATTAGTATGAAAAAGATTGGAACTTTTTTTGTTTGTTTGTTTTGTCAGTGAAGAGATTCAGATTTTTCAGTAAAAGTGAACAGAACACAATACTCAGTTTTACACAAGGCATACATGGTGAACCTTAGTAGTAGCATATAATAGGAGAGTGAGACAATTTCTAGAAACTGTTATTTTTGATACGCATCCCCTTCATCACATGGTCACGTAGATGACACTAATCCAATCCAATTGCAGAGCTGTTTCTATAGTTAGGAAGATGCTCATAATGCAGCGCACAGAACTGTGGAAGTCGCAAAAGAGGTGAGTGTGGGAATATTGCTAATAGTTCAGGTGTCAGCTCCAAAAAAAAGACATTGACTACTTGCAAATTCTGCCATTTTAAGTGATGGTTCTCTAAGTCGCAATATTTTTCAAAGCAGTACTAACAGAGCTCCATATCACAAATTGTATTTTTCACTATTCATTTAGTAGATGAAATATTTATGTCCCAGTTTATTTTTAACTCTTGAGCTCATGCATGATCTAATAACGAAAGCAATGACAAACCTAGTATTAATTGAGCTGTATGCAAACCTTCTTCACTTTATGTTATCATTTGACTCTCTGGCATCTCAGTGTCTGTTTGCATACAAAATGAAATTATTTCTAGTTCATTAGTCTCCTGTATGCAACAGTAGACATGAAGGAAGACATTTATGACACAGCAATTTTGGTAGTAGCATAATCATACATACATACATAACATCTTCTTTATATGAAGTAAAACACCAAACTTGTGCAGATCAGTCCCACAAATCAACAGCTGTCCAAATAGATCGTGGCCAAATCATGTGCACAGATCAGCTCAAGAGTGCACCAAAAGCTGGGCCATATTTAACATAAGATTAGCATAAACACTATAAGATGGTGGCCTCTGGTCATGCTGACAATTTCTACCAAATATTAAGGTAATATTAAGGGATGTTAGCTTTTCATGGGTTTTGAAAGTGTAGGGAATCACAGGCTTAACTGCTGTTCAGAAAGTGATAACATTGCAGTTGTTTTTAAATCATTGTACAGCACTGCATTATTACATTAATCACTTAAACTGTATCTTCTTTGCAAGGTCTTCTACTCAGAGGTTGAAGGTGACAAAGCAGTTAAGCAGCTCTCACACGACGTTCCCCTGAGCCTGGATATGCTGAGCATGGTGAGTGTTCATCAGCAGTCAGAGCAGAACAGTGGAACGTGCAAGTGGGAAGTTGCAGCTCCCTGTTTGCTGTGAATTACATGGAGGATCGGAGCCCCATGGAGGATCTGGGCATTGAGCAAAAAAGAAACCACAAAGCTTTTCAGTAACCCACTCAGAGGACCGACACAATTTTCTCCACATTGTTGGGCTAACTTACTACATAAAATTTTGGAAGTTGTTGGTATCTTACTAGTACTGACCTCTGGTGTCTACTGAAAGAGAACTTTTAAGTTCAAATGTGTGCTTTTGTGCAGGAAAGGGGATTTGTGCAGCCTGTATATCAGTGTGTGTATATTGCAGCATCTGGCACAGATGAGGGAGTGCACAGAGTTAAAGGGGACAAGTAGTTTTCAATGTTTTCTTTTTATATCTCTATGAGACTGTTGCCTCCCAAAGGATGGAATTTAAAGATTAATCATGCTGTTTTGTTGCATTTGTGCACATCTCTCCCATAGAAGATTCTTAGCTTCCATTTCTTTGGTTCTTACAAGCACTTTTTCTCATTGCTTCCTATTTTTCCACTTTTCTTTAGCTGTTTTACTTTTCTGTTTTTCCTTTTATCTGCCCTCTACATTCTTATTTTTCTCTCTGCTTTCTCTGTCCAATCTGACCTTCAATTTCCACTCACAAAGGAATGCTGCCCATCCTCTTCTGCTGCAATTAGTGCTGAGATGAAGGCGATCCCTCTGTGCTTCTAGATGGTTTTAATGCTGTCTGCTTTTAAAAAGATCTTATGAAACACACTTGCATCCCCTCAGTGGCGGGAACCTGCTCTTTGAGCTCAACAAGGAAGAATCAGTGATTTTCCAGCCTTGGCTCAGGCAAAGGTTGGAGTAGCATCTTGGGGCAGATGCAGTGAGGGAACACTTCCACAATGCGCTCTGTAAAGAGCAGAGTCTGTCCCCAAGACAGCAACACTACCAGCACAGGAATCAAAACCTTATGTGTGCATATAGAGCATTGCAGGATCTTGATTTTGTGATTCTTATTTACAATTTGACTTTTTCTTCCTCTCTCATTTTCTTTTTTATTTTCTCACCTCTCTTTTCCTTAGCCTTCCCATCTGCTGTTCCATGATATGCATTCACTGCTTCTCTTTGGCCCATGTTGGGCCATGCTCAGCAGTCTTCCCTGTAGGAAGCATCAGTGAGAGAGTTGCTCAGATTTCCAGCAGTCACTCAGTTTTGGTTCTGATTCCTGTAGGTTTCTGGGATCATGGCAAATGAAAGTATCTCGTGGCCATGATATGTTATTTATTGATTAACACATTATTTTCTCCCTTCTCATCTTTATCTCTGTATTTCTCACTTAGTTTTTTCAATCCATCAGATAGCATTCTTGCTGGTAATGCCAATAAAGATCAAACATCACATTTTTATTGTCTTTATCCTGACAATGATAATTCTTACTCCCTGCAAAAAGAGTCTGTACTCATGCAAGTAAATAATAGACTCAAATAACACCTTATGATGCAGCACTGACCTTGTTTTTGTTTGCTGACCCATTACTTATGTGTATTTGCAATCTCTTTTTAGTGTGTTACTTCATTAACAAATCCTATTTTCATTTTTTCTAGGGTCAACTTGAGGGACAAGCAATTTTTGTAAGTATTGCTTCACCTGAGGCTCAGTCACAGCTGTGATTTAAAATAAGATAGAACTTTTCTGCTATGAGCTTTCCATAGATTCAGCCTCAAAAATATTTCCCTATTCATCTCTAACGTTGGTTCTAGTTAGCACTTAGACAGGATCTTTTGTAGTCAAAGTAGTGACTAGAGCTCAAAATCCAGAGGTAAATAAGGGGAATGTGTGTATGGGTGTACCAGTTCCATTTTTAATGATGGATAAATCTTCATTCACTCTTTCAAAGTGTTTGTTGATGTTTTGCTTGTTTAAGAAAACATCAGCTATATTCAGGTGGTGACAATTTAGAGGAAACCAGGACAGCAAGGCTGGCATACACACAACAGTGGGAAGGACAGCAGCCCAACAGTGGGCGAGGAGGAAGAGATGGGGAGGACAGAAGTGCTGATGTCCAGGAGGAGGACTGGGAGACCGACAGCTCTTATAAAATAGGTCTGAAATGAGTTTGCAGCTGGTGAGCGATTCACATTAATTATTTCCAGCCCTGTCCATTCTGCTTCCGATGAGCAATAAACAGATTGGTCTTATTGTGAAGGAGGAAGTTAGCAGGAGGTGCTTGGCTTTGTGTAGGGTAAAGGCAGGGATTTCAGTTAAGCACTGAAATATCAACAAACTCCTGCATTTTTCTTTCTCCTGAGATTTGTTAAAAAATGAAGAAATCCAGTGAAGTCAGTGGGTCTGGCACAGCTTTCACTGTCTTAACTAAGAGAGGCTGGGCTGAGAGGAGGTTGTCCAGATGAGACCTCGGGACACGCCTGAGACACGGCTGTCTGGTTCAATCCTGAGTTTGGATTACGGCATTTTGGAGTTGAAGTTCCAGGCTGGGCCCTTGTTTTCTGCTTGATAAAAATAACACTTGTGAGGGGTACATGTGGAGAATGTGACTGACTGGGATTAATCAGCTCCCAGCTGTCATTAATCCCCAGGAAGTGGTGTTCTTGCTGAAATACTTTCTGTTATATTCATACCAAACGCAACAGAAATCTGCAAAAGCTTTGTGGTTAAGTCTGCATAATTTGTGTTTCCATCACTAAGCCTCCTCTGCTGGTGTGGGTACAATTCTGCTGCCTTCTCAGAAACTTTTCTGGACCCCATGAGACTGTTGTAGAGAGATTGGCTCTTTTTGTATGTGTGCATGTGCCTGTGCATGAGCAAAGTGGATGATGTCTCGTATCTGCACTGCATCATCCTAACATATAGAATGCATACATGACAGCAGTCTGTAGAATGCTGGAGCAGTACTATTTACTAAAGCTTTGTTCTGCTGGGCCAGTATACATGAAGTTGTGCACACACACAGATATATGTTTGTATATATAAAAGCAAGGACAATTAGCACGCTTTAGAAGTGGGAGGTTTTTAGGTCGTAAGACCTACAAGATAGCCAAGCACACAGGTACAAAATGGAGAGTGAGCAGTTGAGAGTGGGGAAGGGTTGGTAGGAGGATCAAATGGCATCACAACCAGCTCTGCTTCTTCAGCAATACTTTACTCCATGTGGGTTTTGTTTCTTATTTGTTGGTTCATTTTTTTCAAATTAAAACCAAACAAAAGGGAAAATAGACTTTATCTGGAAAAAAATTTATAATCCAGGTTTCTGTGAAGCAACTTCGAGTGCAGCTCACAAAAGGGTTCAGCACAGCTGGCAGGAGCACAAAGCAGGGAGGGCATAATCCATGCCTGCACCTGATTCCCATACTGCAGAAAAGGCATCACATTGCTTCACACTGTTAAAGAAGGTGAGATTGTAATGAAACTGTCAGATATCATTCTGCAGGGTTTTAGTATGAATATCATGTAAGACAAGAAAGTGCAGTCGATGTTAATAAAGCTTCATCAGGAATGTAGTGTTCAGTTTTGTGTGTCATGTTTCAAAATGCAGGAGATGCTCAAGATAGTAAAGGAATAAGATGCAATGATTGTGAGCTAACCTTTCAGTACAGCACCAAAATTCCCTGTCTGTGAGGCTGTTGTCTCCTTTGAGATGCAACAAACTTTAACACCTTTCTCCTAAGTAAAAGCAGAAGAGAGTAGTTTACTGTGGTTTTTGAGAATAAATATGTTGAACCTAAATACCTCAGTCAAACTTTTATTTTGATTGGCTTTGTAGTCACTGAGGCTAGTTCTGTTTAGTTTATTGCACATTTGACTTGTGAAGCAATAGCTAAGAGCCAAATATATGTGAATATCTCACTATTTTCTGAGGACAAGTTCTTGAATAGCATGAAAGCAAACAGAGAATCAGACATGTAACAGAGGATTTTTTATTATAAGGTGCTTTCAGGAACACAGTGCACACAATTTAAGTACAGATGGACAGTATATATGACAAGGTGGGTAGAGTGGCAGGAGCATCAATATTGCTAGTGGACGGAGGTGACAGGTTTTCAGCAGCCATCATTTCAGGTCATATTTGGAACGATTGCAGTCACTTCAGCTAAATAGATAAATACTTTCATTTGAATGTTCTCACTAATTCTCCCAGGGAAGTTACTTTTTCAGAATTGTTGTCATCTCAGATGAATCCAAATCATTCAAGCAGATTGAGGGTGAAGGATGGAAAAACAGGATAATGGCCAGACAGTCTTTGTTAATAGGAAATCAGTGATGGAGTTCCAAAACCATGGCTAGTGAAATGACAGATGGCAGGGTGTTGTTAAATGATGTTCTAGTAATGAAATATCTTCCCCAAACAACAGAAAGGAAAAGTTTGTCCAAAAGGCTGTCGTGAGGACATTTAGCAGATAATAAAATTTTAGGATTGTTTACTATTTTGCTGCAACTGGAAATGCAGATTTAAAGTCTGTTCGAGCTTGAAGTGAGATAGTTCCACGTGCTCTGTGAATAATGTTTTTAATATCAGAGAGTGAAAAAAAAATATTCTCTGTACAATTCTCCGTAAATGCATTTTTTTCACAGCAAAGCAATCTGAGGCATATAAACTGTTTACTTGAGTGTGCTGTCAAAATTAATAAATCTAGGATTTTCATCTACAGATAGGCTACATGTAAAGAACTCTGCATTTTTATGTAAGTATTTTTAAGCATGTATTTTTTTGATAACATTATCTACTTTCTGGAAGAGTTTAGCAGGCTCCTTTGAAAAATATTCTGCAGAAGTTCCTGTGGAGGACAGCATTGCCTTCCACATGGTAGTTGTTTGTAGGTTAATCTTTCTGTGTTTATGGCAGAAGGACAAAAAAGGTGAGTGGTCAAGGCTGGTAGCATGAAGTGAACAGCCAGCTAGGGGTATCGTAAGAGGCGGTGAGACTGGGCTCTGCTCTATGAGAAATTCAAGATTGTCAGTTCACACAGCTTTAAATTGCTTTATTTTCAGAAGTTCCTATGGTCTCAATTTAAAAAATAAAAATTTTAAAAATGAAAAATGCACCACGCTGATAATAAAGGCCAGCAATCGGCTCAAGGGAGAGAATAGTACGTGACTTCAACTTGACCAGCAAAAGCATGACAAGGGGCACAAACAGCCCTGAGAGTTATGCTGAGAAGTAGGTCCAGATCTGCCCTATGGATTCCCCAGGGGTGGAAATGCAGCTTGAGAGGAAGCACATGGTGACCTTCGTGTTTTTTTTTCAGAGCAGGGCTGGAAGGCAGCAGTCCTCCCAGAAGGCTGCATGGAAAACATCGTGTCAGATTCCACTGACTCTTGCAGTTGTTTTTGTCTTGTTTTCTCTTGACTCTGGTAGGAAGTTGTTATTGGAGATTTGAAACCTGGTACCCCACATCGCGTTAGTGTTGGAGCCTATGGCTGGGCAGGGAAGGGACGACCCAGCATGCCCAGAGATGTCACAACCTTATCCCAAGGTAACTCTGCTTTCTATTGTGAAGCTGTCAGGGCAGTATCAGCTTGACCCGTAAATGCTGACTGTGAAATTCTCAATTTGCCCAAAGCAGTGAGTGAACAGGGGGGCAGGATTAGCAGCAAAGTGGTCAGAAACAAGTCCCTGTCAGCAGAGGTATTTAAGAGACGTGTTGAAATAGCCACTGAGAGACATGGCTTGGTGATGGGACTTGGTAGGTCAGGTTGGTGATTGGACTTAGTGATCTTAATGGAGTTCTCCAACCTATATGATTCATAGCCATCTGATGTTATGAATCTTTAATAAATTCCTGCTAGACCATTTGAGATAAGGTTTCTTTTTGCATTAGCCCTACTGCATCTGTCACACAGCAGGCCACTTGCACCTAAGTCCCTTTTACATGCAGCACTGCAATACTTTACTATTAATTTTCCACAGATGTAGAGTTTTACAGGGGCAACAAGGGAGGGAAGAAGCATATAAATTTGATTCCTAAGTCTGTGAATTTGGATTGCTGTGCATATAAGTCAATTCACTTCTCTAATGCTGTTCTGCATTTCTTCTGGCACAGATAACTGCATGCCCCCTGCACCACCCTATCAGCCCCAGATTGTTGTTGTTTCTGATTCAGAAGTTGCATTATCCTGGAAACCTGGGGCCAATGAAGGAAGCTCTCCCATACAATACTACATGGTGGAGTTTATCAGGCAAGTTTGTCAGTGGAAACTGAAATTCAGTGGTGATGTGCTGTAGTTTTGTCTTTTTTTTTCCTAAACTGCGCTATCAAACTGACTACAGATTCTTCTTGTTATTTATTTATTACTGTATATAGTATGTTAGGTTTCACTCTCGATATGTGTTGAATTACCATGAAAATTTGAAGGCAATCTAGAAATAATCAAAATTGATATAAAATCACCAGTAAGTCCTATCTTCTGATGAAAGAAAAAAAAACGTCTAGTTTAATATATTTCATCTAATAAAAGCCTGGGTAAATTAAGTTTTAAGCTTCTCCTGTCATCAACTTCTGTTGAATCATGCTGAGTGAAGAGTTTGTGGCAGAGGGGTCTCCCTGAGCAAATGTGCCTTTGGCTGCTATAGCAAAAAATCCAGGGGCTGAAGAGTCATTTTTTTGGTTTAACTGACAGGAGTGTGTAGAGTCTTGAGTTGCAGGACTCTGATTTGTTGTTTTATCCCTGCATTGATCAATTGTCCATGAAGTATTGACTTTTCTTTAATCTCTGGGTGTTTTGTGCTGTTTTGGTTTGCTCTTGTTTTTATGTAGAACTCTACATTTTGTAGTAATAGTTCTAAACTGTGAAAAGCTGCTAGGCGAGTTGCTTTATGCATGTAAAAGGTAAGGAGCAGGTGATTGTATATGCACGCATAAATAAGTATGTATACCTTGCTGTTCATATACTTGTGGAATCTAATATTTCTATTCAAATCTTATTATTTTCATGCTAGTTCCTCTGTTTATCCCTACTGTGAGCGCAAAATTCAGCTTTTGGAAGTTTAACACTTTGAACAAACATGTGATGACAGATTTTATTTGAGGTTCCTGCACAAGAACAGAGAATTGCTCCTTTATCTGTATTAAGCGGTAAAGGTCAATAAGTAATTCTTCAAAAAAAGACGCTCGTTTTTAAAAAGATTTTTTGTTATAAAAACCAACAGGAAAAACCATTGGTTTTCAGTGCTTTAAGTATGATTACAGTCTAGAAGATACTGATACAGTGCGAAAAATTCCCAAGTTGAAAACCCACTAGTGAACTTATGTTGGACTTTGTATTGGAATCAAAATGCCTCATACTCATTGGGAAACCACCCAATATTCACTGCAGTGAGATGCAGGGCATGAAGGCTGAAGATGCATTATGGTCATCATGTAACCTCTGCTGAGGAATTACCATGTAATTTTTCCAATATCTATTTCTCCACTGTAATTGTTTTCTAGCCATTTCTCTCTTCTCTTCATCTCTTAATGATTATCTATTCATTGGATAGGAAAGGGATTTTGTTAGATTCTGACTGCAAGTACATCAGACACGTGTGTTCTCTTACCGTAAAATAGAGTCTACACATCATCGTAGAATCAGGGGCCCACTAATGTGTAAAGTGGGCATCACTGTTTCCATTTCATGTGTTGAAATCACACCTTTAAATGTTTTTGTTCAGATGGAGAGCAGAAAATTGCTTCACCATTTAAGTAAAACATATGAGGTACTGAAATTTCAGTGTTTTGTTGTTTTTAGACTTTGGGAAAGAATTTGCTAACAGCACAGTGTTTTGATTATACTCTTTAGTTTGAGTTTTAAAGTATTCTTGTTAAATGTGGGATTATGCTCTCTTAGACTTGGAAGCTTGAGTATGTATTTGGAGAAAGTTCAAAGCACTGTAAGCCCTAATGCAGTTAGAAATAAAGATTTAACTTAAAGCTTCATTGTATTTTGCTCCATGTAATTTTAACTAGTATGAAGAGCATTAACATGAGTTAAAGCTGTTGAAATCAAACCAATGACAAACCAGAACAAAACAGTGCAAACAAATTTAGAGTTAAGTCTTCTGATGCTAAAGAAATACAGTTCAGATATTACACTGAGTTATTTTTTGCAAAATTAATAACAATGCAAATCTGTAATTTTTTTGTGGATGCAGCAAAGCCTCTAGAAACTATGATATGGTTTGCATCATTTCAGGCCCCTCAGGACCAACTTCTATTACTTTGACCATATAGGAACCATGCTGAGAGACTGAGATGAAGGAAATGTCTTTTTATTTCACCAATTGTGATAGTGGGTGTTGAAAACTCACGGACTTTAATTCGTTAATTGCTTGCACCTACCAGAATGTCATCAGAAGCAAGGATAAATTCTCTTAGGGATACTGTCAGAGATAATGTGTCCTTCTGCCTGAGGTCTCAATTTGGGCCTTTTTTTGGCACTTGCATGGTTTCCCTGGGAGGAAACTTTGCACATTTTAGTTTGCTATAGGCAGCAGAAGGCCATAGGTGATTTCAGATGTGTTATGGGCAGGGGTAAGTCAAGCTCTGCTCTGCTCTTGACTATAGGAGAATCCCAAGGAGACCACGCTCTCAGCTTAGTTAAGTGCTTAAGATCAGAATGTGAATATAGGCCTTACTCTTATCGACACAGTTCACGGGGAATGCATAAAAGAATATATTGAAATTGAGAGAACTCGTGGGATTGCTGGAAGCTCAATGCTTTCAAGCTCAATGTAAATTTTCCAAAGGTTTATGCTAAAAATATTTTATTTAAAAAAAAATTCTTATGAAAGTCTACATAGCAACATCCTGGGCTTTAATGTAATTTGTGTTTCTATTCATAAGATACTGAAAAGAGCTTTCTCAAAAATGTCAGATATTTTCACCTGAATACCCAGATGTCTAATTATCCTAGAATCCATTCTGCTCTGAACTGTCTGTCCTTGGTGCTGCAATATATTGGGTTGTCATATTTGAATATCTCATGCTGAAGCTTGTTAAAAGCATCTAAGGCAAAGCTTGGCTCTTTCCCAGTAGAAATATTTTGAATATACAAGTCTTTTCGACCTATAGTTAGAAAAGTGTTGAACACAGGACTGTTATACTTTTATGTACAACAGAAATTGTAATTTTTAAGTAACTTGGCTGTGAACTTCCAGACCATGAATGTTGTAGTTGTTCAATTATTGCTTTCACTTTCAAAGAACCCAAAACAACAGTTCTGACGGGGACACTCCTCTGAAAGCCCTGCAAAAAAACCCTTATTTTTTTACATTTTTTCTGGTTAATTCATGAAACAGATACTTCTGGTTTTACTCTTACCTCACAGTCTGAAAGGGCAAAATACCTGAAAAGATAATTAATGAAGAAAAAGAAATAGTAGAAGTAAAAATGTTTAATGATGTCAGCATAACATTTTACAAAAGAATAAGGCTAGAATATTGTCTATTTATTTTATTATTTTCCTCAATTGACCTGGTATATTGTTTAGAGTGTTTTATAGAAGGTGTCATAACAAAGGTAAATAAATACTAAAAATAATATCATGTGGTGCATTATTTTCTACACTGAATATTTTCCATACTAAATAAAGACTGTAATGTATAGGTATATCTTAAAGAACATTTTGTAGGCTGAACATGGTACTTATCATGAATAGAAACATGGCACAAGTAAGCAATCAAAAACCTTGTGAAATTGATTAATTTAAATAAAATTGATCAGGCATTTCACTCTTGAATAATTTTCAGTTGATCTTTAAGAGAAAGCTCAAATGAGTGTAACATTACTGTTCTCCACATCAGAAACATTTCCTTTCTGGGATGAACAAATCCCCAAACAATATAGAGCAAAAATCCAAATGTTTTTGGGCATAGCTGGGACAGAGTTCTGCGCTCAGTTTATATCTGTTCAGTCCTAATGACTTTACCTATAAATCTATTATTTTAAAAACACTCCAACCACTCCAACTCTGTCATTGACCAGATTCTTATTGCATCATATTTTGGTATGGAGATGCACAGCTGTACTTCCAGAACAGAAAACATGTCGTGCACAGTGACATCCCCCAGAACAGCTCTGCAAGGTCCTGCCTGGAGACAAACCTCTACTGACCCAGGGGAGATATCTCTGTGAGAAGATGAGAAAGAGGCATCAAGATGAGCCCTTCTACTGTAAAAGTTGACTTGAAGTGAAATTCAGCAAAAAGCTCCAAGCTTAGAAAACACAAGAGTTGGCTGCCCTGAGAGTATGAGTTCACTGTGTTCCTCTCTCCATCTGTTTGCCATTTTATAGTCTTGTACCGATTTGTTCACACAGGGAATGTTCTGGAGAAATAGCAAAGTTCAAGTGATAAATCTCTTTTTTTTCCTCTCCTTCAGCTGCAGAGACTTACACACTTGCAGACATTTCCTCTGCTATTCATTTCTGTAGAACGAAGTCTTTTGAAAGACAGTGAAGTTGAAGACTAGCCTGCGGTTTGTGAAGTTGTGACATTTTCTCCTCTATCTGTAAAGGCAGTAGTATCTCCTTTGGGCTTTTCCCATTTCGGCACTGATACTGGCAGGGTGCATTACAGAGCAGCTTGAAGGCCATTTTTTTAATGGGCAGGAATCCTTTCTGTTGCAATTAGAGCAAGAAAAAGATGTGTGTAGGAAAACTGAGAACATGCTGCAAAGTGAGCATGTGGACAGAAGCGATATTAACAGCTTTCATTTGGAAAAGACTTTAAAAGTTTTCATTTTGGCCTGGGCATCAAAAGCTCAGAAAAGGGAAACAGTGACAGAGAGGCCAACATCAATGTCCTCCTGTCTACCAGGAAATGGTGATGGAAGGTGACTGAGGATGGTCTGTTTAGCCATCATTGCATCTTGCACATTTATCTTATTTTAGGTTTATTTTTAGTGAGACAGTAAAATATTTGGCACAGTGTGCCGCTGTGTAGGACTCAGGCAGCTGGGAGCTACAGCTTTATCAGTACACTTGCCCTGCTGGCTGAAAGGAGTGAAACCTCAGTGATCAAAATCTTGTATTGACTGATAAAATAAAACATACATTAATTTTGGCACTTCCTTCCAGCTGCAAATAAACAAATACAAAATGCCTGCCTCATGTTAAAATATTCACTGGAAGGCTGTTGGAAACATTTGCAGCTAGTCCTATGTAAACATCAGTAGATTCAGGGAGCACTTGGAGGTTATTTCCTGTAATAAATACCACAAGGACATCTTAGAAACAGGCACTGGAATGACTTTCTCAGAAAGGTCATTTCTTTCCCTATTTTACATTCATAGGCTTTAATTTAAATATTTTAGGTGTTCTGGATTTAATGTTTATGTTTTGATTTTGCTTACATTCATTTACCTTCTCATTCAATTTTCTTCTTGACGAGACTTCCTTTAGTGAAAGCAGAAATGGTGTGAAAGCTTTAGAACGTTCTCTCAAGGTGTTTGAAGCAAGCCTTCTCCTTCACATATCCCTTTGTAGACGAACGTAAGCATTTCTAGTTTTCCTGCATTCGTGCTGAGACCAAACCAAGCGAGTGGTTGTACGGATTTCAGCTGGATTGTAATGTATACAGAACAGACATTTGTTGGTCACTGATTTCCAGTACGAGTCAAGACCTATCTAGGTGTGGCCCAAGGGCTAAGAAAATATTTTTGCAAAGGCCAAGTTCTCTGCATTATTATTCAGTTCTTTTGTCATTTCCAGGGAGAAGACTTTGGATCCAGATTTTCCAGTGTGGGGAAGATTAACCTCACTGATTGGGAAATTAAAAGTTAGATTCTGATTCTGCTAATGCTTTTGTACATTTGAAAGGTGGTCTCTGAAGCATTAGAGTACAGCTCTTATAAATAAATCAGATGTTTTCCTCTTCCATTGCAAAGAATAGCATTATGCTGCGGAAGAGGAGATGGGGACGTGCTGGTGACGTCCCCTCTTTTGAAAACTCTGAGCTCCAAATCCACAAAAAACAGACAAACAGAAGCTAATTTTCAAATTATCGAATAAACCACCTCCTTGGCTTTATAGGCAAAATCAGAATATTTCTTTTGTATCACTGTGTACTGCAGTCTTTCCATGTCACAGGTTAAGTAATGACTGCACAGTCTGGCCTCTTAAGAATTAAGGATTTCAGTCATGATTTGGCAGGTTGTATCTCATTTATTTTATGTATTTCCCTGGAAAGTTTAAAGGCAATTAATTTATACAGCCAGCCTTACCTACTTACGATCTTATTCTTTTTAACCCTGAAGGCCAGACCTTGACAGCAATTGGACAGTAATAAGAGAGCAGATCCAGATGGAATCTATGGTGCTCAAGGGACTTCTCCCAAATACCAAGTACCAGTTCGCAGTGCGAGCAGCAAACTCCTATGGATCCAGCCCTGCCAGCACGCCGAGCGATGTGGTCCGAACGTTCAGTGAGTAGAGCCACCATTTTGTCATTAGTACTGTATTCTGGGGGCAGTCTGTGGTGGGCAGCTGGAGGAAGAGTCCCTGTCCAAACCAGGGTTCACAGACACCCTGGTTCAACACTTCTCGTTCCTGATCATGGTTCTTGCAGCATTCTGTGAAGACTGAGATTCAAAGAAGGTAAAGCTCCAGCTAGAAGCACTTTCACACCGTTTCATTGTCAGATATTTTTGGACTGCTGCTTACTGACTTTTATGCCAGATTCATGCAGAACTGATAAGTGAATCTCATGGGGAGAAATGAGAGACAAGTTTGTTTCATCTTGTTTGTTTGTTTGTTTGCTTGTTTTGTTTTAAGAACTATGTATATTACATATGCAATTTAAAAAATCAAAGCAAATCTTTACTGTTTCCTGAATAGTAAGGCTTTTCAAGTACTAATCACAACCACAAAAATAATGATATATACAGATAAGCATCCTATTTTCATCAGAAGCTACATGTGAAAATACTGGGTAGAAATGCATACAAATGTTACACATATTTGAGCATCAACGCAGGCCATGCACGTTGAAATAAAGGATAGATCCTGTGTGGTCCATCTCCTGACAGTCTTCTTCAGAGTATAATCCTCTGCCAGTGCCCATGTCTCTGTGGGCTAACTCAGAGGTGCTGTTGCTCCTTACCTCCCACAGCGCCAGTGCAGTGTGTGAGCACACCAAATGAGCAAATCCCAGCCTCACGTGACAAAGCAGACTCCATACAGGAGGCAGAGTTGATAGTGGAGAACATGACCTAACTAGACTATACCCTTTATGTGCCAAAGTCCTTCTTGTCCTTCTTGCATTTGGGTGGTTTGAAGTACTTTAAAACCCAGTTCTGAAGGCATTCACAGAGGATAGAGCGCAATGAAAAAAAATAAAATGCCTGCAGGCAGTTCTAGTAGATTACTGAACTATAAAATTGAGCTACAAGACTGATCTTTGTCTTCCCTCACATACACACTCAGCAGCAATCATCTTTACTTAACAGGTAAAATACTAGCAGCTGATATTCAAATAGGATGTTGAGCTCTGTAAGCACAACTAGCATGTTGTAGAAACCATGTCTTCAATGATCAATTTAACCCAATATGGATTTTTTTTTTTAATTGCTTCTTTATCTTGAAAGCTCTTGTCTTCTCTAATCCCGTAAGGTGATTTTCATCCTTTTTTTGCCCCTGCTATTCTTGAAATCTCTTGAACAATTTGGAGGATATTTGTTGTAGCAGCTGAACTCTTAACGTCTGAAGAAAACAGTCATAAAAATCATGAAGGTGTAATGCCCTGTGAGATTTTCTGGCCTTGGATCCTCAAGGTTCAGCTTCTTGTGCCTCAGCTACACATACATGCTCCTCAGTGTCCTGTTTATCTCTGATGTGTGTCTGCATTCTGTAGTCAGTAGACAATGCAAATCTGGTTACTTGGCCCATCTGGTGTTGGTTTCCAGGACTGACTTTACAGATAGGCTTCCAAACACACCTGAAAGACCATGCTCTCTTTTTTTGGGTAACAGTCTTCACAACAACCAGCTTTTTGAGAGAGAGTCGTGGTGACAAAGAATAGATGCCTTTAGAAATAAATTCTTCTTTTAGGAAGCAGGAATGTGACTGAGAATAAAACCATCATTTACCTTTAGTAACGATGTCTGTGTCAAACTGGTGTGATGCTAACCAGATACATGAGAACCTTACATATTACAAGGAAAGCTAAGCTTCTGCACTGAAAATTCCTACTTTACATTATGCATCTTCAGCTACTAAATTACCTTCCCCCTTCCAGTAGCCAGAAAGACAATAGTTACCTTTGGCCTACCTAATCATTCAGTTCATTTGTTCAGGTATAGGCATTCAGTATATCTGAGATCCTCTGGATTACACCAGCTTGTTTTTGACTATCTTTGCAGGACAAGTGCCTCCCATACCTCTTCCAGACACATGCAGCCCTCTGGGGATGTCTCTAGGACCATAATGCATCTCAGATGGCACCAGATGCCTTAATCTCTCAGAGTGCAAGCAGACAGCTCTTAGTCATATTGTTGCTGGAAGGGTGTCAGACAGACAGCATGCATGTCTGAAACTGGAGCATCTTTGTTTTTCAGAGTACTCATCTCAGAAATTATTATCTTCATTACAATTGTTCTCCTACATAAGCAGTGAAGCATGCCCCACGTATGTGGTGCTGTTTTCTGACAGCCTGGGTATTAGTACTCAGAAATACATGAATTATCTTAGCTGGCAGAAGTCCATACAGTGTCTGAATGCTTTGTTCATGTAAGTCTTGGTGCTCAGATCCTTAGTGTGTATAAATTTTAAAAATGTGGATCTTTATGCTTGCATAACCTGGATTTTTATGCTTGTTTTAAAATAATAACATTCTGATGCTTACTTTAAGTGAAAGGTGAATTCCCAGCATTACTGCAAAATGCAGCTCCCATACTTCATGTTACATTGTTTAGCGACTATTATAGTTCTTCCAAATGGACTGAGACAACAAGTCCCACAGATACAGAGTCCACACAACCTGGGCATTTTTTCTGCTGGGGCTTATCTCATTCTCACACGTAATTGTCTTATTTTTGCTAGAAAAGTGGCTGGATTTGCAGTACTCCTCACTCAGTTCAGCATAAGAAATGGTTGGCTTTGTTTGATAAAATACTCCTCTGAAGGAATGCTGACTGTATCACCTAGAGTGACAGACCTCCCAGACCTCCTTGCAAGTACAGCATGTGGCCTTGACTATCAGCTGTTGCCCACTTACAAAAAAAATACAAAAAATTGCATATTTGTTTTATATTACATTGGTCTGTTTCCAGGGAGGAAAGAGAGGGCAAGTTTCCCCAAAAGTTCTCATGTATTTATAATTTACTTCAGGTTTTTTTTGTTAGTTTGTTTTGGTTTGTTTTGTTTTTGTTTTTTTGTTTTTTGTTTTTTAATAGAAGGAAATGAGTTGCTTTTTGTATAACAGGGACAACAAATACAAATGTGGCCTTTGTAAAGACTTTGGAGACCTGTGGAAAGCAGACCTATAGAAAACATTCTCCATCCAGTATCTCCTAGACACATCGCCATCACTTCCATCAGTGTCTGGATCCAAGGGATTGCTCCTTTCCTGCCCCGAGCCTCAGCAGGCACATTCACTCTCTGTGCAAAACAAACACTTGTGCCAATGCCTTTTTCAGCACGAGTCAGAGCATACAGATGCTCCCATTTGCGAGAAGCTGGGTGCTGATGGCTAGGCCCAGTGGAAAGGATGTACCCAGATTAAGCGGCCACTTCTGTCACGTTTGCCATGGGGACGAGCAGGAGGGTATTTTTAACATAAGGCACTTCCTCTGTCAGTCTGGCAAAGCCCAAGGTCGGTGACCTTCCAGACACAGTGCAAACACCATCTGTTTCCCCAGGAGATTAAAGATATTTAAGTGATGCAGGTGAGGACACTTTGTTTGTTTCTTTGGGACAGTTCATTGCTTTTGTTGTTACTAAACTTGATACGTGAAAACTTTTGTTTTCAAGCAATTGTCCATGACCTTTTTGAAAGATTTGACAGACCAAAAATCCCAACAACCATATAAGTGAAACACCTACAACCTGTGTCTGCAATTTAGAGAGGAAAGAAATAATGTTGTCCCTGTTATACAAAAAGCAACAAAAAGCAAGAGATCCAGCAAACAATACTCCTTGCTTCCCTCTGAGTCACTGGCAGGAATAAAACTCAGATAAAAATGCCCCGATGTATTCTGGATTGAGACCTGTGAGATAGTCTGTGTGAAGATCACTCTGTTACAATTCCATGCAGCCTGCCTTCTTTGGCCAACCTCCTGCCTCTTCTGATTGGTGTACTTATGGTCCTCATTACCTAGTAGGTAAAACAGAAGTTTATGTGGCTTTCTGTTTGTTTTAAAAAATATATCTTTGATATAGCTTAATCCTGATTACTTGGAAAGAGGCTGTCTTAAGTTTAAGACACCCACATGTTTTCTAATTAATTATAAAACAGGATTATAAGATCTGGTACAGAGTCTTAAACAGGCTTCATCTTGTACACTGACACACTGATGTAAAGAAATACAGTGCGTATCTGGAGTTGTTTCTTTTTGGCATTTGCAGTGGATTGCTTTGCTTTATTATCCCTGGTTTGCCATCCATTATGAGGTGAGCTCTCCACCAAATCTATGCACTGCTCTTAAAATATGGGCTAACACAGTGGATTCTGTACAGCAAGTCCTGTTGGATTCTCTGCTTTCTGTTTGCTTTGTAGTTCTGTTACATCCTGTCATGCGTGAGTGTCATGTCACACCCACCTAATACCAAATGTAAGGCCGAGCAGAGCGACCAAGAAGCCAGTGGATGTTTGATAGTGTCTGATCAGTTAGGTGAATATTCATCACCTGTATGCATTCAAACATAGTTAGAAGCAAACTTCTTTGTCTTCACTGTATTGCCAAAACTACTCACACAGTGGCAGGTAAAGTAATGTAGTATGTGTCATCTGAAGCTTAGATGGATCTGTAAGAGTGAGAATGTTAGGCCATTTAAGAGAACTGTGGACATCAGGGCATTTTCTGAACTTACACTTTTCCTGGTGAGGCCAAACTTAAATTTTGAAGGCCTTTGAAGAAGGGCCTCAAAGCAATCCTTTCTGTCAGCCACAATAAGCCATACCTTCTTTGCTCTCTCCAGGATGTAAATGTTATACCAATTCAAATAGCTTAAAAGAAATCATTATCTGGTTTAAAATAGTGTGTACATGTTGTATTCCACATTCCTCTGCTGGAAAAGCATGGAACATATAGTTTTGCCAGATGAAAGAGGCACACCTTATGCTTGGAGAACCGTGTTTAAGTTACCAACTCTCATTGTGCTCTGATGGCTATTGATGTCATTTAGTAATAACTCCACTCAAGAGAGTTACAGTTGTGTGAAACAGTGTGGCATTAAAATCTCGTATAATGCATGTGAGCAAGTCTACATATTGGAATGCAAAACTAGGACCAAATATTTTCCAACAAATGAATATAAAGATACATAATTCTCTGTATCACTTCATCTCTACCATCCTTACTGAAGTCCTTACTGAATGCATTAAGCCAACAGAAAACTTGCTTGAGAAGAGAAAAAATGTGGCAGAATTTAGACTATAGCAGGCATTTGTTTTAAAGTTTATACACTCTAAATTGTAAAACTGAGTTTGTGTATTGCAGTCTGAATACAGATTAGATTTTTTGTGATATGGCTGATCAGTAATGTTTGGTTTTTCTTTTTTTTCCCCAATTAAGTTTTATGACTTCTGTTACTCTTAGATAATTTACGATTTCATCTATTAGAAGATCTAAATTTATTCTGAAATACAAACACTATGAACAGTGTAATTCTAACAGCAAGAAGTAATATTACTGACCTGAATTGAAAGGAAGAGCATTCCAGCGAGCTGCAACTTGGGGCATCTCCTGACAGCTGAGTTACTGGTGGGCTTTGCTTCATTAGTACAATTTCCAGTAAACCACAAGACACTTTTGTAAGTTAGGGAACACTTAAATTCTTTTGTAGAAATACATGTCATAGAAAATTGCTTTTGCCAAAGAATAAGATTCTGATTCATTAATGGATGGATAGAAGAGGAGTAGCCTGCCTTCCTTGCTGGAGTAAAATTATTTGGAGGTGGCAATTAATCTTAGTAACTAATCAGGTGAATACTGGGAATATGAATTTGTGGCCACATTTTGCTAATACTTTTTTTTTTTCCATAATGAATGCAGGATTGGGACCAGTTTGTAAAACGTGCAGCCTATTTCTCCACTTGTTATCCTTTGCCTGTGAAGTTACTGTCACTACAAAAATAATCTGTATTTTGTACAATTTGCCTCTTCTCATTACCAGCCACAAAGCTATCAGTTCTCTGCTTACATGCCTTATTAGAACTCAATGCTGAATAATTCAACTTACAGTTAAATTATACAGTTAAATTGTATTATTTACATATGATTAGATATAAAAGTTTGAGTGGAGTTTGAGCTTATGCATATTTTATTCTGGTCTGTCTTGGTTGGAAATGTGTGTGCCGCATTAACTCTACTCATTTGCTTCTGCTTTTTCTGTGTGTCAGTGTTCCATGTGAACTCCACTGATAAGCAGCTCCCCAGGAGCATGCAGTGGGGTGGCCAGCAAGCCATCCAGGGCATGTGCTTTTATCTGGTTCACACATACTCGATTTCATAGCATTAAACCTGCCGGGCCTTGTTATCTTTCACCTTCGCATCAGGTTGTTCAGAGGTATCAGTGAAGCTCTCACTGCCATTAAGTGGCTCTCTGGCATCTCTGGCCTGCCAGTTCTCCTTCCTGCAGACTCCTGGCCCCACAGGACTTTGTGTCTTTGCCTTTTGTGGTGAGAGGGATCTGCTAGCCTACAGGAAAGTATAGGAAAGTTGAGGCTGCCAAAATAAACCAGGACACGTGGCCAGCCCTTTCAGAGGCTCTGCAAAGCCAGGATTACCTGTGCTGTTCTTAAGTGACCTCAGCAAATTTTGTGGAAAGCTGATGTATAATGTCCATTGTTTCACTGCTTACTATATGTTTTATATTCTTAACCTTATATTCTTAACCCTGAGCTCTTCTGGATATTTGGTTGACAGTGGGGTGAACAAGTGATGGGGTATTTATGAAAAGGAAGGTTTTGATTTAAACGAATATGGCTGTTAAAATGTGGTCACATGCTGAAAAAATGGTTGGAGCCATTTGACTGGAGGAATGATAGATAGAAGTCTGTTTACAGTGGGAGTATGGAGCTTTTCCTGCTTTGTTAAGGAAACCCAGACCATGAAGGTCTTAGCTTGTTTTGTTTTAACTTGGGCGTGTGTCACTTGTGCAGCCTGTCCCATCTTCAGGCTGACACGTTTGTTGCCTGTACAGAATGAACATCTGTGATCTGCTTCTTATTTCACTGTTCTAAGTCAGGGAAGATAACATCTGAGCTGCTTTATGTAAAGAGAAAAAAAGCATATGAACTGAGTACACCAGTTGTGTTTTTTCAGGTTCTGAAGAGCTAGGAAGTGGAAGTTATGGACATCGTTATATCACAGAAACAGTCACTGGTGATGATGATGGATTTGATGTGGATGACTCAGACTATGACATTTACATAGAAGAGGTAAATATCAAGATTCCACTTCGACATTTCTGTTTCCTTTTAAGTCTTAACGTTTTGAAGTGTCTGATCTTATCAGATAGATATAATATGCTCAGATAAAATAGTATAATTTCTTCTTTTTCTTCAGTGAGAATGGATTTGTTACTTCAGATCTGTCTCTTGGAAAGTGTTCATGTCATACCAGTGTCCAAATTAAGTTTTACTAATTTGTGTTTACTTCTTTCCCTTTAGCTCAGACCACTTCCTGCTATCAAAGGAGGCAACAGAAAATTTCTGGTTGAAACTAAGGTCACGCCAGGGTCTAGCTCCAGGCTGCTGTCACGGGTCCTTACAACCACTTCGGAGCCCACCACTTCCACTCTCACCACCACACAACCTTCCACCACGGCCAGGGTTACAACAGCCAGGGCCACAAGAAGGGGCAGCATGTCCTCTGCCCCACGCCTCTTTGATCTTTCCTGCGATGAGACCATCTGTTCTGCAGACAGCTTTTGTGTCAATGACTACGACCGAGGAGGCTCACGTTGCCACTGCAACTTGGGGAAAGGAGGGGAGATGTGCACAGAAGGTACATTTCTATGTGCAGAGCTCCTTGTGCGCCAGTACATAGGTCTGTGCTTCCTCAATGGCTTCCTAATGGGTATCCCTCCAGGGATGGCCAACCAAATGTCTGAGGCTTCTGTGGAGTGGCACATGCAGCAGCAGGGCCTGGCTGTGGCCCAGGTTTTTAGACCACACGGAGGTTGATTTCTAGTTTTGTTTGTCTTAGGCAAGGAGCAGCTGTGTAGTAAAACAAGAGAAGTACATTTATTGAATTATCAGGTTGGGATTAATGGGTGCCTAAGGACAGCAGAAACTTCCATGTTTCTGTTCAGACATCAGTTCCTTTGATTTTTTCTCTTTCCTTAACCATGTTGGAAGAAATTAGTCTTTAATAAAGCTGGGAAAGACAAATGCAGACACCTATAGCTATGTGGGGCATATTAATCCTACCTCCTATATTTGGGAGTGAGAGGCACCTAGTCCTCGCAGTGTCCAGCCGTAGTATCTCCAGCTTTCATTTGAGGCATTCATGCCCCTATGACTCTTGCTCTGCTGAGGCCAAACCTCTCCTTTCTGCCAGCCCTGAGAGGAGCTGATCATGCAGTGAGTCACTTCTGTTGTTTTTTTTCCCCTCTGGAATTATTTGTCTGTTACTTTGATGATCAAGGGCCCAGAAATGCCAGAAACTGTGCAAAGTGAGAGGTGAGGCTATGCACAGGGAGGAGGGAAGAGGTACATACCTGTGTGGTGCTCTTAGGTCTGCCCAGACCCAAAGCTGGCTCGGTTGACCCTCAGTGAGGAAGGTCTGCTTCTCTGCTACACAGCATCCCAAGCATCGCTTCCCAGTCAAGTGTCAAACTCTTGACAGCAGGTGTTTGAAATTGCAACAGATGGTTGCAATTAGTGGTAACTAACAAAAGAAATAAACAAGGAGACTGACGGAGAAATGCTGTCCCTTCTCATGGGATAGTGTCACGACTTACATCTTATTGCTCATGATGTATGTGGGAGGTGCTGAAGATCTGTCCTGTTACTGATAATAGTGCTGTCCCACGTGCTAAGAAGGAACACCAGGGACATGTATTTTTTTCTGCAGGCCCGTTCTGAATATTCCTGATGCACTACATTATGCATCAGCAACATTTGCACTGCGGTATTTTATTTTCTCCTCCCAGTGCATGAGTAGACAGAGCTCATTCTGAAACCAGTCCATTGTGACTCAGCCACAGGGAACAACTGCAGATGTGATTTTTGGCCTTGAACTAGTATGAAAAGTCAAGGATGTGTTTGAACTGTATACAGCTTGTAGTGTTAGTCTGTTAATGTGATTCCAAAACCACCATTTTTCACAAGGGAGTTTTCTGTTCCTTTATACTGGTAAGCAGTAGCATCATCTATCAATATTGCTTTGTACTGAGATTCTCCAAAGAAGACAGTATTTTTAAATAGTATATTAGTCTGAATGAAAACAGACTTTTCTTTACAGTCAGCAGCTGAGTGACTCTTTGGTCCAGTCAGGGCTGTTTGTGATCATGGCATGAGTTAATTCTGACTACTTGGTTGATTCAGGATTATAGCACCAGTTCTGTCCGCCTCAGACTCAGATGTATTTTATTTGTTTGCCTTAATAACAAAGAAGCTGTGAGAGCTGTATCTAGCTCCAAGTACACAAGAAAAATCCACTCAATATTCAAACAGCAAAATGAAATAAGACTCTTCATCCTTCCTACCTTATTAGGCTTACATCTATGGCAAAAATTCAGGCCTAAAACTGCATCTATCCTCTGTGTTTCTTGGGAAAATTAGCTGCAAATGTAGCAGTAAGACATGCCCCTCTTGTTTTCTATGCTGAAGCTGGGATGGTGGTCTGACACAAGATAGTAAATGGCCAGGGCTGATGACACCATCCGATGAATAATATGGAAGGTTACTGCTGCACCCACGGAATGGGAGATGCAGGAACTTTCCTCTCCCCACCCCTCCCTGAGCATTCTCCACTGAGCTGATGGGAGAAAGGCACTTGGGGCTCCTAGCAATCACCCTGGACTTTTCCAGATGCTGGATATGGCAGATATGGAGCAACAGTGAGTAATGCATCATGGATACTGGCTCAGTGTACATTTCCCAATTAGGTTTTTGTAAAACAGAAAATTCATTTGTCGTCTCTGTATTGGGTGGTTTCTTAAATGAAGATAAGTAAATAGATGGATTCTGTTTCCTGAAACAGAGATGAAATTCAGAAAGTTCCACTTTCTGAAGTCAGTGATTTAAGCTGTTCAGCAGTATTTGGCCTAAAGTATCTTGCTCTTTTCCAAGTTCACCAGCCTTCTTGAGAGTAGAGGAATTGTAACAGGTGGTGGAATGATGAGACAGTAGGTTAACTGATTGTTCACTGCTGCTGACTAATGGCTGTCTCTGGAGGAGCTCTACCTTGCCTTTTCCCCTGATGTTACCTACTGCTAAATATGTGTATAAGTTTTTATGTTGGTAGAAAATTGCTAAATCATGTGCTTCTGTCATTACTTTTCAGATATTACTATTCAGTATCCTCAGTTCTATGGCTACTCATATATTACATTTGAACCACTGAAAAACTCCTATCAGACGTTTCAAATTACCCTTGAATTCAGGGTGAGTTTAAGCAATTCTATGTTCTTTTTGGTGCTTTGGATTTTTCACTTATTCTGATGTTCATAGATTCATAGCATCAGAAGATGGTTTAGATTAGAGGACCTTAGGATCATCGAGCTCCAATCCTGTACTGTGTCCTGTATGTGGACAGCAGGATACTAACTTTTCTTCAGTGCAGTTCATAATGCAACTGTGTTGAGCTTATATGTAAGCTTCATCCCTAATGATCTGTCTTCATGTTCAAGGAATGCAAACTACTTGGGTAATCTAGATACAGTGTTCGTGTCCATTATTGTCCAAATTAGGACAGAGCTGATAGGGCTGTCTGAAGAGAAGGCAGCATTTGTAGATGAGCTCTCGTTTACGTCCTGTGCAAGGCAGTCTGGCTACCATCTCAGCCCAGATACAAACCTGTTGTGGAGCGGTAGCGACCTGTTGCCTCGTGTGGTGATCTAACACTTTTCTGGCAGTTTGTCAACTCAAATTGTAGGATGGCTGTGAAAAGCCACGGCTTCTGCTGCTATGCACACATGGATACGGATAAATCTTGCCTGCCCAGGTTATTTGGCTTGAAAAGCATCTGATTCTCTGAGGGTGTGAGGAAGGGTGTGTGTATTCATGTGTGGCAAGTCTCATGTCTCTACACTTAACAGCTGTTGGTAGATCTGATAGTGTCATTCTGTTTATGGAAGAGATATTCTTAAATCATTTAAGCATTAAGACAATGTGTGCTAGGCTCTTCTTAGTCAGGATTCATATGGATCGACCATGTTTTTACAATTTAACTCCTCTTCTGAAGAAAATTCTCCCGGTACTGTGTACAATTATCTGTCATTTTGAGGCTTGGTTATTGATTTTTCATATTGATGCTGTCATTGCAGGCTGAATCAGAAGATGGTTTGCTACTCTATTGTGGGGAAAATGAACATGGCCGTGGTGATTTTATGTCGCTGGCAATCATCCGACGGAGTATCCAGTTCAGGTAAAAGAATGATTTCCAGTAGGCCCATCTTTACTCTAAATCTGATGTAAAGAGAAGAGGACACTGCTACCTCCTGGGACACTTTAAATGACAAATAACTGTCCTGACTTTCTGTCCTATGCAGTGCCCAAAATGGATAGTATTGCTTCACTGTACAGTTCCTACATATTTTCCTCTATAATCTTTAGTCAGTGTGTGAATATGTGCCCTGTTGAACTAATAGTACTCAGACCTCGGTGTAAAAGTACAATGATCAGTTTTCTTAGGGGCAGTGCATACTCAGTGTTTTTGCCTCACAGCAAAAGGAGTTGCAGATCATATAGTACAGTAAAGGATATTAGGCCAGCAAGGTGTCTGGAGCTTTCATTCCATATTCCTTGTTTGGATGGAAGATGCAGTTTTTTTATATGATGAGGGAGAGAGTTTCTTGCATTGCCACTGATATGAAATGTGAGAAGGAGTCTCTCAAGGGTCTTCTCATTTGTAAGACTGACTCCTTAGAAAGTGGGGAAAACCAAAACGGGGCTTGTTAAAGCTCTATTTCTGTTCACCTTCTGCATTGAACAGCAATCAGAGATAATGTGCTGTGCATGGTCAGCTCCACAGAGACTCTGGGGGAGGTCTCCTTGTCAGTGTGCACTGGAAGACTTGAGTTTTGTACAGAGCCCCAGTGTTATTAATACATTGCTACCTTTTGCCAGGCAACTAGCAAAATTTCCAAGATAAATTACTGTGATGTCAGGAACTCTGGTTGTAATACCATGCATCTTGAAAGAACTTCAGCTGTGAAAAAGCTTTGCAATGCACTTGATATAGCTGCAAACTTCAAGACCTTCTCCATGAGGGATAATACAATTTGAAATCTGGAACAAATCATACTTAGACCTCCTGTCTAATTTTCCTGTTGCCTGTTAATATGTGCTGAGGAACAGAGATGTTCCCAGAAGAGAAGGGAATATTCGGAAGTATAAAAATATTCGGTATTTGCTTCTTGAGAAATTGTCACCCTGCCCTCTCTGTCTACAACTACCAGGTATAACTGCGGCACTGGAGTTGCAGTCATAACAAGTGAAAACAAAATCAAACTGGGGAACTGGCACAGTGTCACACTCTTCAGAGATGGGCTGAATGGCTGGCTCAGGATGGATAATGATGCTCCAGTCACAGGAAAGTCTCAGGTAGGTAATCTTGCAGCTTGACCTAGGGCTCTCTCAATATTGCTATGACTTTTTTTCTTGACAGTAGAAATCTGATCAGATTTGAAAGGTCCACTTTCCATCATCAGTTTTGGAGCATTTCATGTGCATCAGGATCAATGCACAAATTACCTTTCTACATGAGTAGTCTAGAATTCATGTAAATAGATATCCCAGTGCTGAATCCCGTCCAGGTTATCCTGCCATGCTCCCTCCTTGCCCTGCACCCTACTCCTGCACTTCTTTCATCTTTCATAACAATCTGCTGTGAGAAATTTGCCAGGTTTTACAGCTGTTGGCTCTGTTGGTTTCTTTTTCAAGTCTCTGCTTTTCCACTTTCTCAACCAGAACAGATTGCTCATATGTATGTTTGTGTGTAGTTATATACAATATACATATGGCCACACAAGATTTGTATAGTAGAGTATAAATAAATGTATACTATTAAGCACCATAATGGAGATAGGCATTCTGCCCTGATTGAAAGTAATACCAACAGTCTCACATGAGACTGCTAGGATAAAATATAATGCAGGAAATTGTCTTGATTTTCTCATCTCTTACCAAATCAGAAAAGAGAAATAAAATAAAGACACAGAGAAAAAAAAAAAAAAAAAAAAAAGACAATTGCAGATTGGTTTGGATGTCTTTCCTCTTCCTTTTAATAAGAACTATTAGCTTGCCATCCCTGGCACTGAAAAAGGGACTTCTAGTATATTATTGCTTTACACTTCCATGTGCAGGCTCTGAAAGAAAGAAAATATCAAGAACTAGAATGATAGGAAGGGATGAAGCTTGTCAGCATAAATGCTGTGTGCTTGGAGCCTAATGGCAAGAACTTCTGTTTCACATAGAGTGCTCATCATCTGAAAATGACAGAGGAGAAGGATTTTAGTGTCATGTGTCACCATGTGTTACCAGTGCTGCAAGGCAACATAAAAGGGAAATGTAATTCAGAGTGAATCGGAGATGTGTCCAATAGAGAGTTATGCTATTGCACAGAATTTTGGTGAGACTGCGTGTGGTTGCCTGTACACAAGACAAGTTGATGGGGAAGAGATGCAAAGAAGGAGGATTGTGGTCCACAGAGTCTATCACCAGAAGAGTTTGATAGTGGACCAACAGTTTTCTAACTGCATATACACCAGAAAAATAGTCAATTGCTCCTGCAGCTCTCCGCCAGAACTTGCAGCTCTGACAATGTTACTGCTCCATTGATTCTTCCTCAGCCCTTCCAAGTTAAAATTACCTGGACTGGTGTCAACAAATGGCAGTCATATCTGATCTGTTCTTTGGAGAGGTTTGAAAGTACCCATAAGAGGTGGAACATGACAGACATGTGCAGGAAAACATCAAAGGCTGTTGGAGCTGGCAATCAGTGGAGGAGAGCAGGAGGATGGTGTGCCCACAGCTCTGCAAAATGCCAACCTATGAAACCCTGTGGATAGACGAACTCTCTGTAACCACAGCCTCCACATGAATTATTTCACTGCTGAAATCCAGATCCATTTGATGTATTTCTGCACTGTACTGTGCAGCATATGCTCATGGACTCAATAACCTTGGCTAACTTAGCCTGGCAAAATGTAGCCCCTGGAAACAGGATTTATTGTCATAAATACCATGGAGGCAGAACAAGACTGAAAAGTCCAGAAAGTGTCTGGGCTAGTGATCAGCTCTCAGGACACACTAGGTAAAATCTAGCCGTGTATAAAAGCAGGAATTTTAAATGTTTTATTCTAGAGGTCACAGATGTTTTGAAACAGCTTTTGAGTAGGAGACAAAATAAATATTTTGATCAATTTATGAAAAGAATTATGACTCAGTTTCCCACATTATAGAGGGTTTAAATTAATGATCAAAAACGTTCCATTTAGGCTTTTTTCATTCCTTCCTATGCATTGCAGTAGTGCAAGGAAACTTGTATGTGTAGATTTCCATAGGTAAGTTGAGATCAAGTAATAAAAGATCGGGAGTAAATTTAGTGCTGGTAAAGTGGGCAGAATCCCCCTGAAGTTTTAGTGGCATCAGATTATGTTTTGTCTTGGTGTTTGCTGTTATCTTTTTTCATTTGATTATTATTCAACTCTCAGCATTTGCTGAGTTCTGTCCAAATGGCAGCACCATATTGATCTGTGTCCCCCAGGGCTGAGTTGAGAAGACAAGCAATGTTGGCAAAAGCAAAGGAAGAAATTGCAGCAAAAGACAGATATCCAGAAAGCTCCATTAGAATACAGTGATTTTCAAACTTCATATTTTGCTTTAAGTAGCTCATGTTATCGTAATGGATGTAGGTGCAAAAAGTAGCATATTTTAAGTGTTTTTCAGTTATAGATGGACCAAGGGAATAAGCAATGAAAAGGACATCAACGAGCAGCCTGTAAATCCACTGGGGCAAATTTTCATTGATTACATACAGTGTAGTTTAAGTTATCCTGTATTTTGTCTGTTCTACATTATGTTGTGTTACTTTTTCCTTTCAGGGCCAATATAGTAAAATTACCTTCCGGACTCCCTTCTATGTTGGCGGTGCCCCCAGTGTGTATTGGCTGGTCAGAGCTGCAGGCACCAACCGTGGATTTCAGGGCTGTGTTCAGTTTCTCAGCATTAATGGGAAAATGATTGATATGAGACCCTGGCCTTTGGGGAAAGCACTCAGTGGTGCTGATGTAGGTAAGTGTAACAGTGTGCAGTCTTTAATCAGTGCTAAACCACTCACCAGTTTTTTGGTTTTTTTTTAGCCTGAAGGAAAATTGAGCAGTCGTATAGGTTTGAGAGTGGGAAGTTCTGATTCTAGTTTTTGGCATGGTATTTCTCTGTGCTTTTATGCATTGCTGTAGCTGGGTCTGTTGTAGGAGGCTTTTACCAAACTGTCCATGTAAATATCAATCAAATATATCCCAAACCCTTGTAGATGTAGCTGTCCAACACAATGGTAAAGCCTACTCCCACAAGCAAGCAGGAAACTCACTGTTTCTGATATAGTTATTTCTGCAGTAGTGTTTTTGCCAGCAGCTTCTAGGCTACCTTTCCATGCCACTGACTGACACAGTCACCAGCAGAAATCAATAGAATGCATACTGAGTTTGTGCAAAGCACTATGGACACAACAAAATGTGTTTTGCCTACAGGCATAATTTCACTTCTCCAAAACAACACAACAATCTTTCAGATCCAAGCAGTGCTTTGGCCATTAAAAGGACTTTTCCCATGAAAACCCATTATTGTTGAGGCAAATAGGCTTTCCTGTTTACCATCCATCGTTTCCAGTTCCAGGATCACACTATCAAGAATACATATATATCAATGCTTTCAATAGCTCTGGTGGGTGGTGTATAACATTATTTCCCCTTCACAGAAGAAAAGATGGAGAAGTAGGGAAGTTAACAAGTCCTGTCTTCTATATATATTTAGTAATCCCTACTTCATCCATGTAATGGACAATCAGAAAACAACAAAATCCTTGCTTTAATGGCATCCTAGTCTGATCAGTTTAAGTGGAAGGGTAACCCCCAGGTCAGAAAGCAAGAGATGAAGGCAGGAAATTGGTCCCATATTGTTGAATGCTCTCTGCCATGCTTCATCCACAAAGTCATCTTTCTTCTCTTCTATAGCTTTGCATTTGGCTTCTCAAGAAGCAAGTGATTAATGAGAAACCTGCCAACAATCACCCTGTATTCTCTAGATAACATGACTGAACTTCTGTGCTACACAGGAGGAGAATACTGCAGCCTAAGAAATAGATAGTAAAAGAATAAGGCTTTGGAAGCAGACAGTAATTTCATGACAGAGTGAGAATCTATGGAATTTATATAGATAGATGAAAGCCCTGCTGAAATTCTCCAAGTCCTGATCTCTATTGCCTCTTGTGATGCAGCTGGTTTCATTCCCATCTAGGAATGCTTCACGTGCTACTGCATTAACAATCAACATCACTGAAAATAAATGCTTGGATCTGCCATGTGTGACTCAAAACTGAGTGATAGGGCCCTACTTTCCTTACATGGCTGCACACTCTTATTTGATACTGTGCCAGGAGAGATTTGCAAGCAATATATGATACATTAAGCTTAAAATAAATAAATTTCAAGTGAACTCTACTGAGGTTTAAGGATGGCTTTTGCTAGCCTGCCTTTTGTTTCTTTTTCTTTAGTACAGTGTATAAGTCATGAATGCTGTGATTTATGGACCACAGCACTAAGGGCAGGCAGGAGAGGGGCCACCCAGCCCCTGTGCAGGACAAGCCACCAGCACATGATGCTGTGAGAGCAGCCTGGCAGTACATACTGTGACTGCTGCAGCTCAAACTGGCTCTCAAACCAGAGAGCCTACAGCTTGTCTGACCACTGCTGCTGCCTTCTTTCTTTTCTGGTACTTAAAAATTCCACTTCGGTCTTTCTGAAAATAGTACCAGCATTGTTAGTACTGCAGATAAAGACGAGCATTGCTTGAATTTTCTAGTTATGTCTCAGACTTGATGAATTTCTAGTTGTCCCGCATCTTGCCTCAGTTTCCCATCCATAAAACCAATCTGGTACTGCTCATTTCTGTTTCCACTGCAAAAAGTGATGACTACATGAGAGTTCTCTCAGACCAGAGAGCTCTTGTAGCCATTGAGAACTTCATCATAGGCCTGGGGAGAACCTTCAGGAAAGGTGCAGGTCATCATTACAAAACATTCTCTGTCGTGTAATAACACTGAGCATCAGAAAGGGAAATGATGGCTAAATGAGCATCACACAGTTGGGTGTGGGGCAGCCATTTTGAAAGATAATCATCTTGTTGCAACAGGAGGAGAATTTGTTCCCTTCCAGTGTGCTTCAGTTATGCTCCTTGGTTGAATCCCTAGACTCTGTCTAGTGAGGGCTGCATTCAGGCCTCAGTGCAATATGACATGGTCCATGTCATATTACCATTGGATAGCATTGTTAGCATTGCCTGAGCACACCTGTGTCATCTCAGGGGTGATATCCCAGAATCACAGAATCACAGAATGGCTAGGGTTGGAAGGGACCTCAAGGATCATGAATCATGAATCTCCAACACTCCTGCCACGTGCAGGGCCACCAACCTCCACATTTAATACTAGACCAGGTTGCCCAGGGTCCCATCCAATCTGGCCTTGAACACCTTCAGGGACGGGGCATCCACAACCTCTCAGGGCAGCCTGTTCCAGCACCTCACCACTCTCTCTATAAGGAACTTCCCCCTGACATCCAACCTAAATCTTCCGTCTCCCAGCTTAAAACCATTTCCCCTTGTCCTGCTGTTATCTACCCTTTCAAAGAATTGATTCCCCTCCTGTCTGTAGGCTCCCTTTAAGTACTGAAAGGCTGCAATGAGGTCACCCCGCAGCCTTCTTTTCTCCAGGCTGAACAAGCCCAGCTCCCTCAGCCTGTTTTCATAGGGGAGGTGCTCCAGCCCCCTGATCATCTTTGTGGCTCTCCTCTGGTCCCTCTTCAACAGCTCCCACAGCTCCCTGTCTTTTTTGTACTGGGACTCCAGACCTGGATACAGTACTGCAGATGGGGCCTCACAAGAGCAGAGTAGAGGGGGACGATCACCTCCCTGTCCCTGCTGGCCACCCCTCTTCTGAAGGAGCCCAGGATACCATTTGCTTTCTGAGCTGCAAGGGCACACTGCTGGCTCATGTTAAGCTTTTCATCTGTCAAGACCCCAGATCCTTCTCTGCAGGGCTGCTCTCAAGCACCGCTCTTTCCAGTCTGTACAGATGCCTGGGATTCCTCCAGCCCAAGTGCAAAACCTTGCACACTGCTGTGTTGAACCTCATCAGGTTCACCCAGGCCCACCTTTCAAGCCTGTTGAGGTCCCTCTGAATGGCATCCCTTCCTTCCACCGTGTCGAACGCACCACTCAGCTTGGTGTCATCAGCAAACTTGATGAGGGTGCACTCGATTCCATCATCGATGTCATTGATAAAGATGTTAAAGAGCACCGGTCCCAAGACAGACCCCTGGGGGACAGTGCTCATTACACCTCCCAGGCTTACAAAGGCACAAACTTACAGTGAACAAAGAAGCACTTACAGTATTTGAAATAAAACAAATCACAGTGTTTCTGAACGATCTATACAGTTTTCAATTAACACTTAAGAGAAAACAAAGATAGGAGTGACGGTGGAAGAAAAGTATTCTGGGGAATTATTGAAAGACTTGACTGTCATGATTTGCTAATGAGGACTTATTTCTGGTAATTTTAAGGTCTAGTATAAAGCCAGTGCTAAAAGCGAGCTACTTTGGCTGAACTATGTATAGTTTTACAACTGGGGGAAGAATCTGGGATGGAGAGCAAATTGTATTGGTTAGTTGCAATGACCAACAATTAAGTAAATCTTTGACAAACTTCTCTGATAAATCATTACTGTGGTGCTGTATTTAGGTGAGTGCAGCAGTGGAATCTGTGACGAGGCATCCTGCATCAACAGCGGTACCTGCACTGCAAGCAAGGCAGACTCGTACATTTGCCTTTGCCCTCTTGGATTTAAAGGTCACCACTGTGAAGAAGGTGAGAGTGTATGGATTGCCTGCATTTCTTTTTGTTATTTAGTATTCAGCGTGCTTTTCCAAATAGTGACATCCAAGGATGTCTTATGTTATTAACTCATAGAAGACAAGTACTCAATATTATTTCATCTTATTAAAAACACACATTGAAATCTTGCCCGACACTCAGTCTAGGGCTACATGCAATCTCTATTTAGTTAGAGATTCTTAAACTTGGCCTCTTATTCAAATTAACTATTTAAATTAACTACAATTAAGCTTCTCAGTCTCCCTTTTCAGTTCCACAGTTACACAATCACCCTAAAGAAATCCACAGTTTTGTTTTAACCAGCATCAGTTTTGTATTCTAAATATAAAGGACCAAATATCAATTTTATGTTGAAATTGCAGAGATTAAAATAACTAGTTACCAAATTAGTGTTTGGAATACAGTTTTTCATGATGCCACGCATTGCTTATTACTTTGAAAAACACTGCAGTAAATGTCTACAGAGATGTATTAATCACAGTAAAGCACAAAATTTTCTAATACATATAGCATCCTTGGGAGAAGGAGAGATAAAGGAGTTAAGTGATTCTGGCTATGATAAAAAATATTTCTGATTTTGATGATGAAATTCCTGAGTTGTTTCCTTTTGTGTTAGCTTTAAGCATAAAATAAAGGGAACTGATACTGGTTGGTAGGTTAGTTATTCCTTACGTTTGAGCCTCAAGTGACCTACTTGTGTATTCTGGATTTCCAGCACTCACCCTGGCCATACCTCAGTTCAATGAATCCTTAAGATCGTTTGCTAGCACACCCTGGCCCTTGGAACCACAGAACTATCTTTCCTTCATGGAGTTTGAGATGACATTTCGTCCAGATTTAGAGACTGGTGTCCTTTTGTACAGCTATGACACAAACAGCAAAGACTTCCTCTCTATCAATATGGTGGCTGGTTACGTGGAGTTCAGATTTGATTGCGGCTCAGGAACGGCTGTCATCAGGTACAATCTCATTTGTCATATTTCCCTTCCAACAATGCCACAGATCATTCCCAGGAGAGGAGTGAGTTGAAAAGAAGAATATCGTATAATGAAGTATGGAAGCCCATATGTTTGTACTGCCTGCTTCTTCTAAGAAGGCACAGAAGCACTACCACTGCACTTACAGGGACAACATCTTACTTTGTTTCAAAGACTTCTCACTGTTTCCACATCATGTCACTGTCTTACTGCAGATGTTATTTTTCTTTCTGTGTGTTATTGCAGAAATTCATTCTTACCTCCATACATTGTGCCACTGGTAATTAGGAGGTTGATAAATGTTCATATATATTTCTAGACGCAGAATTGTACTGCAGCAGTCTTGTGATCATCATCCTCCCTGGTCTCCTGCCTGATTGCAGGCAGTAAGTACTGGGATGGAGATGTCACAACAACATACAACTCCAGGTCCCCTCTTTTGCGTAGTCTTGTTTCTTTGGGGATCTAAGAGTAATACCCAATTTACCTAGCAGTCTCAAAGATTATTGTCTGATTTATATGAGTCACCCAGGCTCCCAGACACTGTCTGAGAATGATTCATCTCATCCTAAAATAATGGCGTAGGACAGGAGCAATGAGATGCCTCAAAAAGGGCTTTTCTTTGTGTGTAAATGCCCAGTCCTTGAATAGTTGTTCCCAGTGTTTGTAGAAAAGGCAGTGAGCTGAACAGAGGCACTCAGTACCTTGGCTGCAGTCCCAGTTTGACCAGACTGACCTAATATATAGAAATAATTTGTGTAAAGCTTATGAAAAACATACACAGTGCCTGCAAGTCTTGTGTATCATGTCTTTTCTGTGGACACTAGGAATTATGGCTGTACTGCAATTAGGAGAAATACGTTGATTTTCCACTGAATGAAGACTAATACATACAAATTCACTCAGATTATAAACACAAAGATGAAATATCATTAGGACTAGTGCAAAATAATGCACAATACCAACAATTCACAGCTGTGGAGATGTAGTTAGTGTTGTCACATAGGGGAGGATTCTAGAGTAATCATAGATAGTCCTGTGCAACCAACAGCTAGCTGCTTGGAGACAAATACAAAAATGCAATTAGAATGCAAAGAGTTTTTAGGAATGAAATAAAGAACAATGCATCTGCAAAAATTCATGATGCACACTGTCTTGAAAACTTCCTGCAGCTGTAGTCACTTAATTTCAAAAGAAATCAGCAGAATTAAAAGAAGAGGAATAGCGTTGATATCCAGGAAAGGTAAAGTAACAATTTCCACAAGTGGAAGATCATTTCAAAGAGACTAATGGAAGTACAATTAGGATTTTGAAACTGTGAATGGAACATGGAGATGAACAAAAAATGATTATTCTGCATTTTTTTATTTGTGCGGGAATTGTGCAGGAGACTGCAAAACAAATAGTAACAAGCATAGAAGACTTTTTTTTCCCAGACAGCACATAAATAAGTTGTGGAAACTAATCGTCACTGCATGTTTCAGATGCCAAAACTATAAATAGGTTCAGAAAAAAAACTTAGACAAATCCAAAGAAAGATCCATTGAGGGAGATCAAACACAATTGTACGGATGCAGCCTTCAACTCAGGAAATTGCTAAATAACATGTTGCCAGAAGCTTGGAGGATACATCAAGGAAAGTATCATTCCAAACTTGCCCTGTTCTTTTATCTGACCAAACTGTCAGAAATATCTTATGTGAAAGACCTTTGCTCGAACCCGAAGTGACTCTTACAATAGCCTTCAATTTCTTTCTGATTACATCTAATTCCTCCTACTGGTAACCACAGTACTTTAAAGGAGATATCATTTTCCCACCAAAGAATACTGTAGTGCTGCAGAACATCTTGGATTAAAGTTCAGCCAAGAGGTATGGGGCTTGTAAAATGTGCTGAGAGCCACAAGCTTGTGCCTAAGGTTGGAAACTGCCCCTTTCTATTGGAAAGCACAAGAGAGAGCAGCACACCAATTAACACTGAGTTGAGTGAAGTAGGAATGAGTCTGGTGTGATTGATGAGTAATGGGGGGAGATTTTTGAGGCTGCCAAGATGAGTGGAAGGTTGCCAGAATTGTTCCACACATTAGAGAAGCTGTTAAACAATAACTTAGATACATTTATTTTCAGTGTATGTTGTGTCAATTGCATGGTCAGGCACTTAGACGAGGAAAGGACAAGTTTGAGGTTGACTGTGCATCATCAGTTTAACAAGTTTATGTTCAAGGAGGCATAGCACTGGTGCATAGAGCAATCCTTTTCAGCCTTTAGATGTGAATCAAAACCCATGAACCCTGGTTCCTCTTACATTCAACTGATTACCTTTTTTGCATGGCATTAACTTCATTTCTGGAGCTGTAACTTCTTGCTCCCTCCCTTCCTGTGCCCAAGCACACAAGCTTCAGGTGGGGTAGTTAATTTTCAGCTCAGGCACTGACTACTTAACTCCAGGTGTCGTAGTGAACTTGCCCTGTCTGATGCACATCAGGTTGCTGTTATCTAGGTATAATTAACCTGTATTCTGCTGCCTACTCCAGTCATATCTTCATGGAACATACCAGTGCTCAGCCCTGTCTCCATTTTACATCCTCTTGTAACATGGGCAACTTGCACCCTGCCATCAGTTATGTCAGTTCTTAAATGAAATATGCATGCCTGTTTATGCAGTACCAGCTTAAAAGTCTGCTTTAGTCTCATTGTAATAATTCTCACCTATCTTTGTCCTACCTTTTATGGGGATACAGTTCTGGTCATCCTATCTCTTCCACATGACCAAGCTGTTAAATATTAGAATATGACTGGAACACAACTACAGTGTATTTGTAATTAAGGATATGGAAAACAGAAGGTATTTCAATGAGGATTTCAGAGGTATTTCAGTCAGGATTTTGCCACAGATAAGCCAAGCTGGAAGAAGCATAGTGTGCATAAGGTGCTCAGGAAGAAGAAGGGCTGCTGAGTGAAGGCAAAACCAAAGCCAGGCAAAACCAGGATGTAAAAATTTGCTGTATCCCATGGCCACATGTTGCAGGATCAATGATTTTATTGTATGGAGTATTTTCTAAGGTCCAGTTTGTCCTGGAAAAAGTAATCATTAGCCCATCAGCACACAAAGAATCAGAAGTTCCAGTACTGGAAAGAAGCACTACCATATTCGTAGCTTTCAAAATCCCCATGAATCCAAGAAATACGAGAGAGCTCCAGAAATGATGCCTCCTATTTTATAATGTTGGTCCAGAGCCGGATCTTGGTGGTATGACAATAGAGGCTGAACCTTCCCAGCAATGTCCTGTTCCGTGTTGCTGTGTGACAGATGGCAGCAGAGGGGCAGTCTGACAAAATGGCATCTGACATGGGAGCATGCATGAAGCAAAGGTGTGTCACTGAATGGCATACACTGATGCTTGCTGTATATTTTTGGGGACCAAACAGTGGGTTCGAGTACAGTGAGGTGATGCACAGTGCATTTGAGCAGTGGTGACAGAGAGGAGATGAAATATATGTAGTGGCACTTATTAGGCATCCAAACCCATTGGTTTCTTATTAAATATTTATATACTAAGGTGATGAAATTCTGTTACCTATTAATTTACCCCAAGTAATTAAACAATAAATGCTACCACACACAAAAAAGAGGAAAAGGCAAATAGCATTGCTCAGTGATATGTGTTTTTTCGGGTTCTCTGAAACAACTGTCAAAGTAATTATTGTTAATATCTTCCAAATAAAGACAGATACAAACTTTGAAGAAATTTGAAGGAGCAATGTAAATGCAATAAAAATATTTCAAATTATACAGAAATAAAAAAGGAAAGGAGCTCGTATTTGCCCATTTTGAAATTGATACTTTTTTTTTTTTTAAATCAGCATTTAAATCAATCTGAAAATTTCATATTTATTTATACTTTCTCATAAAGAAAAAGCTAAAAAGTGCTGAAGTATCCCAAATAACACCATTTCTGATTTTTTCAGCTTGACTGGTGTATGAAACACAGGTGTTATCACTCCTGGGGGAATGGCTGCAAATTATCATTTAGACATAAAATGTTTTAACTTGTATACTAATTGGCAAGTTCTGTAGAACTTCTGAAGGGGAAAACATTTTTGACCATTAAGTACTCTGCTATTCGAATTAGAATTGAACCAATCGATATTCTAAGAACAGTCTTCAGAGACTTGCTTTGAGACTGGAGAATGCTTTACACAACTGGGGATTATTGTTCCTGTCCAGCATTTCATCACATCATTAGGATCATATTTTAGTTACTTCCCCTTAATGTGCAGGCTTCTTGTGTGTGTGTGTGGATTTCACTGGAACAAGATGCATAAATAGAGCTGATAAGCCAGTACAAAGCACTTCTGTTTTAAATGAGAAGGGAGGATGGGGGGCTAAATGAACATTAAATGGGAAATTTTATCTCCAGGCTTATGTCATCATGAAATAAGAATGTGCAACTGAGCCAAAAAATTTCCTTTACACTTTACAAATGATTGAGCATAAGAAGTGATTCGGAGCTGGATGAAGTGAATTCTGATTATTTAGATGTTTCTTTTATAAACAAGAGTAAAGAGATAGTTGTTTGTGGTAGGAACACAATCTTATTTTCTTTAGTGATAAGCCTCAGGCATTATGTTTCTTCCTTGTAGCTAAACGGAAACTTGATGGATTATTATTTTTTTAAGAAAATAATCCGAAGGAAAATTGACTTTCAGCATGGCAGTTATTTGAAAACATTAGAAGGACAAAAGTATAAGACACTTAAATCTTTCTTCCTTTTAAAATAGGAGTGAAGAACCTGTCAGTCTGGGTCAATGGCATGAGCTGCGAGTGTCTCGCACTGCGAAGAATGGTATCCTACAAGTGGACAAACAAAACCCAGTAGAAGGCATGGCAGAGGTGAGCATATGATCTAAGTTCTCATTAATATGTATGTGAGTATATATATGAATACAGCTGTTAGTTTGTAGAATAATCATATCATAAGCCAACAGGCTGCTGTCAAAGCTCTTACAAGCTGACAAAAGTACACTTCAGGGACACATTTCCTTATGTAACATTGTCTTCCCAGTAAGTACAAGAATTCTATAAAGGCAGATGAAACCATGGCCTTGCCTGCTCACACTGTGCAGCTGGACTCAGATTTCTGCGAGTTCATTCAAGTTCTTTAGGTTCATTTCCTGGCACTTAATTGTTCTAGCTGAGTCAGTTGAACCATGAAACTGTACACCATGAGATGCAGTATCTTGAGAAAAGTGAAATGAAAAATCTGTGCACAGAGTCCTGTTTTTATCTCTCTGAATATTGTGCTGGATAGGTAAGTCAAAAGAAAATTGTTTCTTTGTCTTATCCTTGCAAAAGCAACTTTTATGGTATAGTAAGGCCTGCCCCACTCACAGGGGTTCACGTTTTATTCTTTTATCACTGAGAGGTCATAGTGAGTTTTAATAAGGTGAAATCATGCTTGCAAAAAGCCAAGCAGGGTATTTCCCTTGAATGTACGTACAGAGGTAGTTCTTTATTCTAACTACCTGAGACTAGAGTTGCCTTTTACTATAAAATGTCTTTTATAGCTTCCAAATGAAAAATCTGGCCACAAAACCTCATTCTAAATTCTATTAGCAGAAGAATCTACTTTTTTCTCTTTTTCCTTCTTTCTTTCTCTTTTTCCTTCTTTCTTTCTCTCTTTCTTTCTCTCTTTCTTTCTTTCTTTCTTTCTTTCTTTCTTTCTTTCTTTCTTTCTTTCTTTCTTTCTTTCTTTCTTTCTTTCTTTCTTTCTTTCTTTCTTTCTTTCTTTCTTTCTTTCTTTCTTTCTTTCTTTCTTTCTTTCTTTCTTTCTTTCTTTCTTTCTTTCTTTCTTTCTTT